GTTAAAATAAAATAAAAAAAAAAAAAAAGAGAAAAAAAAGGCAAAGTAGAGAATTTCTATATCATTTAAGATCACCATGATTAAACAATTGTGCAAGATAACAAGTAAAAGATCATACCCAGTTAAGATAATCTTCTTTAGAATTATTCTATCCAGGTCGATATTTTTCAGGGATCCAACTGCTGCCACTACAGACACACTGGCTTCTCCTGAAGCCTTCAGGGCTATCAAAGGAAGAGATGGAAAAGAAATGAGAGCATATAGTGAAGCCATACCAACGACCTGTTGGTCCGAGTGGAAGGAGCTCGATTTCCCTTAAGTAAGATCTCGAGTTCGAGTCTTGTGAATAGAGAAACAGTTGTTGGGAGAGCTTCCCCTAATGGGGTCCGATGCGGCTCGATTTCAGATTAGTCGGGACCCAAAGCGGTTACTGGATACTGGAAGGTTAATAGCAAAAAAAAAAATATAGTGAAGCCATGGAAAAACAACCTGTATGAAGAAATCTTTCCATCTTGTGTTTGTTTGAATTAAAGTTGTCAGTAGAAAATACTGGCCTGAAAGCAACAGAGAATGCTCACAAACTTCAATATGAAATCATAGAGCCCAAACTAAGCCTTAAGGAGCAAATAAATCCTTGTTACCTAGCAAGGGACTGGCGGAAGCCAACATGAAATATCAGTTCTTCTTTGTTCTAGATAGGGGCATCATAACTATCATGCTTCTTTATACTGCAATCAATAATAGTATCATATTATGAAAGAAAAAGACACTCAAGAAATATATACGTATTAATTAAGAAGCAGAAAAGGACAGACTAAGAAAATTTTGTGATTAGATACCTGAAATGAAGGACAGACATCTTTGATTGATGTTGCAAAAGGCCACATGACACAATGGGTATTGTCCTAGCAAGCAGAGAAAGCTTGGAAGCAACAGAAATAGGCACTTCCTTAATATGAAGCCTCGCATATGAACCAGGAGGTGCACAGTCATCTCCTTCCTCCATTTCTAAGGCTTTTGCAATCACATGGTTTTGTGTTCTTGTGAAGTTATCAAAAGCAAAAATTTGGGCATATTCTGGAGGTAGAGATTCCTGATAATCACCAAGAGAACTATTAACAGAGTGCCCTTGATGATGAAGAAATATATATAATACTCGAACAGATATCATGATTACATTACCTTGAGATCCCATGAGGAAGTTCTGAATGATTTGAGGTCCCTATACTTGGTAAAGCGCTTTCTAGCAGGAACATCTAAAGGAGTGTCCACTTCATCTGCAAATTCTGAAACATAAATTTTAAGAGCTAGCAATTAATTGTCAAAGGATTTTATTTTTGGCCAGAAATATATAGGCAATGGATAAGCACCTAGAATATATAGGTAAAAGAAAAAGCTTGGTTCTACAATACTGACTTAATGATCTAAAAATACTGAAGAGAAAAGGTGGTGTTTTTGTGTAAAACCAAGATTGAATTAATTTTTCTTTTCTTCCAATGTTACTTTAGGGCTTCCCAAGGCTGCAGATGCCAGTAAATGGACCAAATCAATCCATCATGGATTCTAACATGCCAATTACCAGCAACAACTAAATTTATGTAAGATTATACACTTGCTAAAATGGTTGATAACAAATAAAGTCATTTTTTTGCCAGGATAACAAATAAATTGATGATCCATGAAATTGTACAATGTCTTAAATAGAGAGAAACTCTCATCTTCAGCATGTGCCTGTTTAATTTTTTGAATGTCTTGCTCTAATTGTTCCCTTGTTGGGTTCTCTCCTTCCTGTATGGAAAAAGAAAAGTTTACATGCAGACATCTAAAAAATATACTTATTATGTCATGCATTGTGGAGTGCTTTTGAAAGCTGGGAGATTACATATTGTTTTTTTCTTCGAAACAAACAAGATAAAATAATAAGAAAAACAAGAGAAAACAAAAGGTCAAGACACGTGAAAAAAAAAGGATGAGACCATTAGCACAAATGTGTAAAAGGCAATGGATTCCATAGATCATCCACATCACACTAGGATTTGGGATGGACATATTGCTGAGTTTGAACTTTAAAGAGCAAGTTAGGGGTGGATTTTGGTGCTATAACTAGTGGTGAGCATGAGAATTGCACATAATTTTAAATGCAAGAAGTCAAGTTAGCAGATTGGTACAAGTGCAGAGAAAAAGAAAGGGTTTAAATGAACCAGGTCAGCAGCTGATGGCTAGAACTACATGTAAAGCACTGTTTTGGTGCAGGCCACGGGAGTGGTAACAAAAAACTCTACATGACATGCACTAAATGAAGTTAACATTACTAAAGACTCTTTACACTAAGGGTGTATAAAACTAATGCAACCATGTGCCATACTATCATGACTGAATCATTTTCAGTTTCATCATCTAAGTCCCTTAAGTTTAAGGAAGGTTGGTCTTGCTCAAAGTCTTGGTTATTTGTACCACCTTGACTGTGAAAGCCACTTTCTCCTTCATCCAATACCATGCCATCATTGTCATCATTGTCAGTGTCAGAATCCTCCTCATCTTTATCACCTACAATCCAAGCAGCCTGAAAGAAATTTAATCAATTGGTAAAAATTAGATCTTTAAAAACAGACACACACACACACATATTTTAAACTAGAGAAGTCAAAAAGGACATCCCAACCTGATATTCAGAAGTGCCATGAGGAAGAATTCTCTTTCTTTACCTTTTTTGTTTTATCAGCCTCTGCCGTTTCTGCTTCTGTTGGCCATGTCTGTTCAGGAGAAAGAAGAAAAATAAAATAATGACAAATAGCAGTAAGGACTCTATGAAAATCAAACTGCTAGATAGGGTGAAGGAAAACAATGTGAAATGATCACCTAAAAGGTTGGATTCTGGCAACTAGATTACCTTGTCAATGACAACTAAAACAGACTGCTTGGCAAAGAAAACAATGTGTTTTTTATTTTAATCACAGTTTTCCGTCCTTTTACATACCAGGAGAAAGAAGGCTTTTCTTTTCCCTGTTTGAAAAAAAAATATATTACGGGGCTCTTCCTTATTAACAAGTTTAAGAGGGCCAGAACATCACCCCATAAATTAAGTTATAAAAGCTTTGATCCTTCTCCACATTACCTGTTCTCTGGCAAGAGGATCTGAAACATTTTCAACAAGTAAAGGTTCCTGGTTCAACGGATCAAGAGCTAGGCAACAAATGACCTGGAATTTCAGAGAGAATATGATATATGGTTCAAGCAGTATCAAAGAGTGAAGAAGACATTAATAAGAGCTTCATCATCACTAAATCAGTGTAAACATCAAGGAAAAAAAATTGAAATATTGTCTGATGTCTCATAAGGTAGAAACAGTATACAGGATACAAGGAAAAGAATTAATAACACATAAATTGGCCCAAAGCTATTGAGAACATTCTGTAGGAAATATGAAGCAGCTGAGGGAGAGGAACAGAATTTGTTGGTCATGATCAAACTCAAAGTTTCAATTCCTTTGCTCATATTAGAGGAAATGATCAAATACCTTAGCATCTTTTAATTCATCAGAATCCATAGCATCCTGTTCTTTGCTTGCATTCAGAGGTAATGGATCTTTTAGAATTTCAATTTTGGACAGCTGAAAATCCCCTGCACCAGAAACATGGACCTGACATGAAGCAAAAGAAAAGTATGACACAACTTACCAGATCATCCCAAAGAAAACGAAAATGTAAGGCTAAACTAATTACCAACTGATTCACTGAGAGGCTGTGTGCACGCATATAACCAGTGAGAAGGAGAGTACTCTTTCGTGGACTGGAATCATCAGATACTGTAACAACCTAAAATGTAGAGGTAAATGGAATTACACTTCAGAGGGTGTCCAGGTAAATAACCAAAAGGAAATTAATAGCAATGTAAATGGATTTGACAGCAAGTAATCCCAATATCAACATGTTACTCATCTTCTCTTTTTCATAGAGTTAATCAACCCTCCAACCCTTTCACATTATGTCCATCATACACTACATAAGTACATTTAGATATAGTACAATAGGCTATAAGGCTAAAAGATAAAAGTTAAAAGCAATTAGAAAACTACCTCTTGTGCAATGAGGTAAGGACGTTGATTTCGCCAGTGAGGTGCTGTGAGCCCTTGCTCCTTAAAAAGCAACATAAACTGTGAAACAAATGTAAATGTAAACAATGAAAAGAGCTAGAAAATAGGAATAATCAAGATATGGAAATTAGACATGTCTCATTCTCAGATATGTTGGAGCTGGAAGTAGTGAACAAGAATAAGAATCAACAAAGAAACCCACCTTATGCAAGTCATCCCTTGTATCTGCTGAGTAGAACTTACTATCCTCAGGAAATTCAGAAGCAAGACTAGAAGTACACAACTTTTTTAACTCATTTCTCTGTTTAAGCTCAGAAGGTAGATCCTGAAGACAAGTTTTTAGCCAAATGTCACAACTTTCTCCATGGGAAATGCTGGAAGTCCTCTTAACAAATCAACTGAGAACTTACACGAATTAAAAGAGCAGTGCTGGGTAGACCAATAGACCTAAATACAGAAAGGCATTGATTTCCAAATGAATCAAAAAGGTCAGATGCACCCTCTTCACATAAAGAGTTTGCCGATGCCACAAAAGCAATCAAATCAGCAGCCTACAATTCAAAATGCTTGTCAGCTGTGATAGCTGGGGAATCAAACTGCAAACTTGAGCTGCCTCTGGAGAAAACAAACATTAAAAAATAAACAGGTGGTGAACAGTTTTATACCTTGGCCATTTCCATACATTATAATAGATCCCCATAAGGAGCTTGCAGTACCTAAAACACAAAATATCAGTTAGATTTTTGCAAA